TATCCCCTGATTTGCAAACCTCTACAACCATTTCTCTAGGACAGGATGAGATCCATTGTCTATTATGGTTACTTTAGTCTTGGAAAAATCAGTTATGCTCACAACCAAATTAATGCTCCTTCTAGTTTAAAGTGTAAAGTTGAATAGAAAAATACTCCCTTTTTTTCAATGTGTGCTTTATCCTTTGCTGAGTTGAAGTTGTCTCTATGTAACTACCTTAGATCACAAAGCAATAATAGGAAAAAAAATTACAAAAATTAAATACACTAAATAACTTAGAAGAATAATTACTCAACTGTGACAATTAACCTTTCCCCAAACTATTTTTCTACCTTTGTTTCTGGATGAGTAGAAATGTCATATTTGAACTACTACCTGTAATTGGTGCATCAGGGCGGGATTGCTCCTTTCTCCATGCAGGCACAAATACAGTAATATCTTTATGGCCTTTATCTAGAAACCAGTCCACAGCAAGTTGTATTCCTCTGCAGGAGAATCCTTCCTTATTCCCATGACTTTAGGAAGATAGAGAATAAGAGATAGGATTGATAACAATTAGACAAGAAATACTCTTAACAGACTTTTTTTTTTTTTTTTAATAGGAAAGGATTAACAATTGATGGGGTTTCCCCTTGATGATGTAAAAGAATATGTTTTTAAAAGAGCAAATCAAATATATTTTTTTATTCAGTCATTACAAAAATGGCCATTATTATTATTATTATTATTTCATTTGAGGTTGTTGCTGTTGTGTGCCATCGTGTTGGTTCTAACTTGAGAAGTAGTTGGTAGCAGTCCAGTCCTACAGTGCCACACCAGGACTCATTTTAGGTTGTTTTTATTGAGGTTAGGGATGGCTAATTGTTGTTGTTAAGTGCCATCGAGTTGGTCCTGATTCATAGCGACCCTGTATAGGGTTTCCGAGGAGCAGCTGGTGAGTTTGAATAGCTGAACTTGCTGTTCAAACTGACTTTGCAGACAAAAGCTTATCCTACAGCTCCACACTAGGGATGGTTAATTACAACTCCTAATGTATAGCAGCCCTGGTAGCTATTACTTACCACTAGTTTCATTTTTCCTTTGTTTGTACTAACACTTTCTTTTTAAAAATTCAGCTACTCATAACATGTGCAAGTAAAATAATAGGTATATAAAGGGTATATAAATGATTAGTTGGAGATGAATCTTTAACATATTTTTAGTGTTTGTTTCTAAGATTATACAAAAAGAAACCAATAAATACTGACTGAAAATGCTTATTACGTATGTTAATTTAATTAAATACATTGCATGAATGAAAGTCACATTCTTAAGAATTTTAAGATTTGGGAAATGCTCACAGTATAAAGTTAAAAGAGAAAAGAAAGGATGCAGACTATAATATAATCCAAATTCTATAGAAGAAAATATAGCTTAAGCTTAGGAAAAAAACTAGAAATAGCTACATCAAAATATTAATAATTGCTATTCTCAATGAGAGTGACTTAATACTTTATCTAGTTCCAAATGTAAAAAATAAAGTATTCCTTTTTTTTCTGAAAACAAGTTTTATTTAATTGATAGTATAAATACATTATATAACATTTAAAATTAAAAGTGGGGGTGAAAAACAATAGTTACTTCCCATGGCATTGGGAAGATCTTGGTGGTAAGTTGCAAGCTCTCCAGCTAGATATAGGACTGATAAATCATTTTGAATTTGTTCACTTGTCAAACGTTTAATTCTGAAAGGTGGACCTCACATCCTGGTTCTTTGGACATCCCGTAGCTAGAATATGTCTGGTCAATAAGAACAATGACCTTCGTGGCAAGCTGGATGTCCTGTCACCTCACTAGAGGGAAGGTGACCTCTACTAAGCTCTGCCCCATTGTCAGGTTTGACACCAGAGGTTTTTCTTTTGCTACCAAAGGTTCCCTCTAGTGTTTACAACTGCTGTTTCACATCTTCTCTGCTCCACCCAAGGTTGTTCAGGTGGTGGTGACATTTTCCTAGGGCAGGGGAGTTTCTGACCACACGTGAGCTTTACTAAAACATCACATTATTACTGTTTCAGACTGGGCTCCTACTGCTTGTTATTTGTTTAAATGAGGAACTTCACGACTCGACATCATGGCTCTTTTCAGTTTATTGCATGAAGGAGTTACACTAGTCCAAGTTAAAAGTGGACCCCAAATTGTTACATTATACAAGCTGTGACGTTTTAAACCTGTGGCAAGGGACAGCAGGAAATTTTCTACTCATTGAAAGGAAATCCTCACTTAAGCTTCAGTGAGCCACAAGCACTTAAAACCCAAGAACCTTCAGCTGGCCATCCTTAGCCAGTTCAATCTCTACAAGGAACTGGCATATGTCCTTGTACTTGTCACCCTGTAGCTGAATTACTTCAACATATTCTGGATGCTCATTTACAGTACCACTGCAGGCAAATTTCTTCCTAAAAGCCTTCACTAGTTTTTTTTTGTTTTTTTTTATCGTAATCATCAGCAATCCCTCGGACAGTAATAAGGGTCTTCCTGCTGTTTCTCTGTTGAATTCTTATATGGGTATAATCTTCAGTCCCAGCAGGAAGCAGGCCATCACCCTTACTTGAACCGGCAATGGAGTCTAAGGAGTAGAGGTTCAGGATAGCGGACATACAATATGATTCATTTTCCTCGGTGGAAACGGCCTGCGGAAGTCAGCGGCAGGAGAAGGTGGGTGCGGAGGACCAAGTGTCCGGAAGCGAAGGGGCTCGCGGGGGAGACTGCTGAGTCCTCGGCGGTGGATCAGTGACTGAGGCAAAGTATTCCTTTTATAAACAGAACATGATGTAAAAAGAGAAGAAATTCTATCAAATTACTTATAGGAATACATGTTGTGAAAGCTTTAAAAGCCAAGCAGAATTCATCTGACTAGAAATCAGAAGAGGAAAAAATCAGCAGATAAATTGTAAAAAAGAGAAAAAGATATAGTTATCGTTATCATCTTAAAACTTAAAAATGGTATCATAGATTTGTGCCCAGATCTGGTGCTGTGACATATTCATAAACCATATAAATTATAGTTAGTTAAACAGATTAGATCACCACTTCTCTGTCAATTTGTGTACTGTGGTAGCTTGTGTGTTGCTTTGATGCTGTAAGCTATTCCATGGGTATTTTAAATACCAGCAGGATCACCCATGGTGGACAGGTTTCAGATGAGCTTCCAGATGAAGACAGATTAGGAATGAGAGACAGACTACTTCTGAATATTTAGTCACTGAAACCTTATGAACAGTAGTGGAACACTGTCAGATATAGTGCCAGAATATGAGCCCCTCAGCTGGAAGTCACTCTAAATGCGACTGGCTAAGAGCTGCCTCCTAAAAGTAGAGTTGACTGTGATGATCCGAAAGGATTAAAGTCCTCGGGACATTAATTTGATGATGGGGCACAACTCAAAATGAAGAGAAAAAGCTGTGAAAACCCATCAATAATTGGAACATGAAATGCATGAAGTATGAATCTAGGAAAATTGGAAATTGTCAAAAATTGAATGGAACACATAAAACAACTATATAATAGGCATTAGTGAGCTGAAATGGACTGGCATTGGCCATTTTGAATCTGACAATCACATGGTTTACAATGTTAGAATGACAAATAGAAGAGAAATGGTGTCACATTCATCATCATAAAGAACATACCAAGATCTGTCATGAAGTACAATGCAGTCTGTGGTAGGATAATATCCATATGCCTAAAAGGAAGGGCAGTTAATGCCACTATTATTCAAATTTACGCATCAAACATGCAATTGATCAATCATGCAATCAAGATTGAAATGCAAACGTTGGAAACAAAGAATAATGATCAGTGATAGAACCTATGCTGGAGATCACATGATAGAATTTTGCAAGACCAATGATGTGTTCATTTCAAAAACCTTTTTTAAACAACATAAAAGATGACAATACAAGTGAACCTTACCAGATGGAATACACAGAAATCAAATTGACTGTACCTGTGGAAAGAGACAGTGGAAAAGTTCCATATCATCAGCCTAAACAAGGCCATAGGCAGACTGTGGAACAGCCCATCAATTGCTCATATGCAAATTCAGGCTGAAGCTAAAGAAAATAAAAACAAGTCCACAAGAGCCAAAATATGACCTCGAATATATCTCATCTGAATTCAGAGATCATCTGAACAACGGATTTAATGAGTCACACACTAAAGGCCGAAGACAAGAAAAGTTGTACAATAACATCAAGAATATCATACAGGAAGAAAGCAAAAGGTCATTAAGAAGACAAGAAAGAAGGAAAAGATCAAAATGGATGTTAGAAAAGACACTGAAGCTTGCTCTCCAGTGTACAGATGCTAAAGTAAATGCAAGAAGTAAGGAGGTATAAGAGTTACACAGAAAATTTCAAAGGTCAGATCAAGAAGACAAAGTCAAATATTTTAACGAAATGTGCAAAGACCTGGAGTTAGACAACCAAAAGGGATGCACACACTCACATTTTTCAGGCTGAGGGAACTGAAGAAAAAATTCAAGCCTTGACTTTCGTTATTGAAGGATTCTCTGGGCAAATTATTGAATGATGCAGAAAGCATCAAAAGAAGATGGAAGGAATACACAGAGTCACTGTATCAAAAAGAAATGGTTGATGTTCAACTGTTTCAAGAGGTAGCATATGATCAAGAGCCAATGATACTGAAGGGAGAAGTTCAAGGTGCATTGAAGTAATTGGCAAAGAACAAGTCACCTGGAATTGATAGAATACAAATTGAAATCTTTCAATGAAGTGAGCCGGCACTGGAGGCACTCACTCATCTCTGCCAAGAAATTTGGAAGACAACTACCTGGCCAACTGACTGGAAGAGATCCATATTTGTGCCCATTCAAGAGAGAAGTAATCCAATAGAATGAAGAAATCATTGGGCAATATCATTGATATCCCATGAGAGCAAAGCTTTACTAAAGGTAATACAAAAATGGCAGCAAACACTACTTTTGTATTTGTTCCTCATATGCATGCAAAAGTTTGACAGTAAATAAGGAATACCGTAGAAGAATTGATGAATTTGAGTGTTGGAGGAGAATATTGAAAGTACCATGGACTGACAAAAGAACAAATAGATCTATATTGGAAAAAGTACAGCCAGAATGGCTATTCTTAGTCTCTCATAATTAGGACATATTGTCAGGAGGGACCAGTCACTGGAGAAGAATATCATGTTTGGTAAGGTGGAGGGTCAAAGAAAAAGAGGAAGACCCCCAGCGAGATGGATTGGCATTCAGTGGGCTCAAATGTAGCAATGGTTGTGAGGTTGGCCCAGGACCAGGAAGTGTTTCATTCTATTGTGCATAGGGTCACTGAGTTAGTACGGGCTCGATGGCACCTAACAACAACAACAAACAGCTGGGATAGTAAAACAAATTATTATATTAGAATAAATATTGATGGTAAACTAAGACTGATTAAAAAAAAAAAAAAAAAAAAAAAAGCATACTTCCCTAAGAATACTTTTTAAGATCAATAATGTG